ACCCTATGAATGAAAGTCTTCAACACTTGCATGACTTTCATCCTTTCTCCACATTCGTAGGGTTTCCGGAGGCAAACTATTTATGGAAGTGGATTCCACTCCTGCTTCCAAGCTTGTTTTAATCAGGGAGTGCCACCAAACACTGCCCACCATGGGTAACCATTATCGTATTTGATACATCAGTGTCACAGTGTTCAGCTTCACAACAACCACAAGTTATCTCTGTACAGCAAGTGGACACACCAGGACTATACGACCTACAAGAATGTTTCACCAAAAACAATTACAGATAGGCCTTAGGACCACAGGTTAGAGTCACCCACCTGTGGCTTGGTCACATCGCTTTCGGTCCAATAGGCCAGCTGGTCTCTCTCTATGTTCTTAAGTGCCGAGTCGCAGGCGACTCATAGCGACTCTATGAACTAAAGTCCTTCATTCATAGGTAGGAAGTATTGACTTAAAATCAAGGCCTGGCTTCCCACAGACTAAATCCTACCCAACCTACACCTCCGAAATCCAAAAGGAAATATGTCATTACCTCCCAGTTGCCAATTAGATGCTGTTGTTGTTGTTGTTAGGTGCCGTGGAGTCATAGACGACTCATAACGACCCTATGAATGAAAGACCTGAGCACCATTCGTACATAGAGTTTTCGGAGGCAAGCCATTTCGGAAGTGGATGCTGCTCCTGCTTCCAGGCTTGTTTCAGTCATAGATGCTACTAGGTATTGCTATTTGTAATGTTGTATGTCTACTCAGTTTTTAGGGAGCTCTGGTGGCCCAGTGAGAAGCCGTACTGCAATCTCAAAGATACTCAGTTTGAATCCACCAGTTGCTCTATGGAAGAAGGATGGGCAATCTCCTCCTCTGAAAACCTACTGGAGGGTCAGCTTTAGTCCATTCTGACTTGAGAGCATACAACAACAATGATGTCTCTTAAACTAGGTTATGTTGTTCTTGAATACAAGAATAAAGTCTCAGGGAGCTCTGGTGGCCTAGTGGCAAGAAGCTGCACTGCAATCCCAGAGGTGAGCAGTTCGAATCCACCAGATGCTCTGCTGGTGAAGGAAGGGCAATCTCCTTCTGTACCAGACAGATCCGATTTGATGATAGACACACACAAAAATAATATTTTTTTAAAAAAAGAATACAGTCTCAGATTTCTTCACATAGCCTGACATTTGTACACTGCAGCCCCTCAACAAAACTGGGTGAGTCAAGCCCCAGGTACAAGAACAAGAGACATACTCAGTCTCTTAACTTGAGCATTCATGAGGGAGGTCCATGGAACTGGGTTCTCCAGGACCCCTCCAGAGAGCATCTGAATGAGGATGGGAGTGCAGAGACAAGCAGCCAAAACATTTCAATCATCCGCGATCAGAATCACAGAGCAATTTTTAATCAGAAGGGGGAAGGGCTACATAAGACCCACGTACAAGCCTTTAGATACCAGCTTACTAAGGATATTTCTGGAATTAAACACCACCACTTCACCTCCCAGAAAAATTAATTTGCTTAACCTAAAGAGAATACAACTCACATATAGTGCCAAAAATTAGCCTACTATACTACAAAATACTTAGTACAGAGAAAGTCTTGGTGACTTGAGGTTTTTCTCCTTTTTTTTTGTTGGAGAAGGAGAGTGAGGGTGTGACAGGCTTCCTTGATTTTTATTCAAAGCCATAAACATGATCTTCTCACATTTTCTGAGCCAGGTGGGAGTTCATCACCACTTGTCACCTAGCAACCTAAACATCTCTCTTTATAGCTACTAAGCCACCAAATGCTTTATACAAAAGTTTCTTCTTCTATTAAACAATAAAAATGAAGGTGAGATAAAAGAATAAAAGTTAAAACAAGCGTTAATATGAGCTCTCTTCATGATCAATTTAAACAGGGTGAAGGCGGTGGGAATATAGACTAAAGATTAATCATTACCTAGCCATTTAAGAGGGGAAATTACAAATGGTCTCAGAAGAAACTAACTTGGACTCTTGCAACATCTGAGAGCCAAAACAGTGCTGCATCCCAATGACTGTACTTTTTACACTGCAAAATGCATCTTAAAATCATGCTACAAAAACCTATGCATTGCCTTCAAACACTTACATAATCTGGGGAACTCGTGAGCCATCTTTGACTCCTGCTTCTCATTTCTGTCCAACTCCAATACTGTCCAACACCCTCCCCACTGAATATTACTTTTTTCTCCACCTGGTAAGCTCATGCTTAGCCTTCAAAACACACAGGTTGCACGCCCCTTTGTGAAGACCTCCCCAGACTCCTTTAAGAAAACAGCACCACTTCTGCCATCCCAAGTCACTGAGAAACAACCATCACTAACACTTGAGAATAACGTTCAGATGTACCACCAAGGCCTCTCAACTCTACCTACCTACCCCAGGCGATAGAGACTTTCCCACCCACTACACTGCCCTACACTGCTCCACACATGGGCCTCCTTCACGTGGAGGTGAAGAGCCTCTTACCCAGGTTTTTACAATCCATCATCCATCCTCTACAACACAGATTGGGAGAGCCCCCGAATGCCCAGCACACCCAACAGTGTCTTAGACATACGAAATACTGCAAAAGTTGTGTCTAGTTAATAAATAATGCAACCAAGTATTTGTTGTTTATTCATTCTGAGATGTACATTTGTATCACCCAAAAAAGCCATTTGACCAATATTGATCATGTGCATGGTTATAAAAGCCAGAATACTACCTGCAAGCAAGGATGCTGAGACTTTGTCCCATGTACTTTGGGCACATCAGGAGGGACCATTCGGGAGAAGGACACCACTCTTGGTAAGATGGAGGGTCAGTTGAGAAAGGGAGTATGAGATAGATTGACCAGTGGCTGCAACAATGGGCTCAGGCATGATTATGAGGAAGGCGCAAGGCAGGGACACGGTTGTGCTATGAGTCAAAAGCACCTAAAAACAACAGTCACATTTAGGAACTTAAGGACACTGTAAGGTAAGCATTATTGTATTCCTCTTTCCTTTCATGGCTTACTTTGTTGCATTCTAGCGTGCACTGGCAACCTGATTATTGATTGAGAACACTGAGATCATAAACTGCTATTCCTACACAAACTGCCAAGTATCTTTAGAGAGAGTGTTGTTTTCTTTTCCCCTTGTGTTTGCAGGGTGGCGCAGTGCAGCGTGCTTTGCTCCGAGAGCCAAAAAGTTGGGGATTGCAACCCACCATTTGCTCCCTTGGAGAAAGATGGGCCTTAAAAATGTACAGCCTCAAAAGCCTGATAAAAAGCTACAATGAGTCAGAATCTATTACACTGTGTTGTTTTAAGAATATCCAACTAATGTTATCTGATTCTTAACAAAATCATTCAACCAAGGTTAAGCGGTTAAATCGTCATTGCATCAGGTCCTAAATTATTTTTAAAAACAACAAATTTATGCTAAAGCTTTCTTTTTCAAAGCACACTTTTTAAAAAAATACACACTTAATTTTAGAGAGAATTGTAGGGTGTCATCGTGAGCTCTGTACAGGCTCACTCGCGTTGCCAAAGCCACTTTCTCCCTCATCTGCTAACCCACAGGAGTCGGGAACAAAAGGACCCATCAAAGTTTCTACTAAACCAATACAAGAAGCAAGTATCCTCAGATGCTTGAGGGAAACTTCAGCGTGGGCTGTTGTCAAACACAGACACTGCCGATAAAACAATTTAACAAAATGCCTTTTCACTTCTGACACATTGTAGAAGAATGCAGTTAAGACGAAACAATGTTATCACTACACTGAGGGGGGGCCATAAAGAAAGAAGAATGGACTCCCCAGGCCCTGGCTCTTCAGAGCCGGCACCACAAGGAACCCGCTGCAGCTAGGTAGAAGCCGAGTTCCTAGCAGGAAAACTTTTTAACTCCGAAATGACTCAATGGTGGTTCTTTTCTTAAGGAGCCCTGCACCGTAGCCTCTTAATCACGGAGATTCCCTGCTCAGTTACCAGGAGCGGGTGTCCCTCTTCTGGGGCCGCCTTCAGGACCCGGTGCCAGAGACCCTGCTCCCACCCAGCACGACCCGAAGGCGCAAGGCCGCCCCTGGCCGCGGTGGAGTGGGAGAAAAAGGCTCTCCGCTTTGGAACGTTTGCCCCACTTCTCATCTCCAAACCAGGAGGAAAGGAGTGCAGAGAGAGGAAATGCAATTCCTCTCCCAAGTATATGGAATAATTAAACTCTTGTCACATTGGGAGTGGAAAAAAAAAAGTTCCATTTTCCCCACCTTTGCCCGCAGGGCCTGAATCAGGGAAAGGCCTGGGGCTGGATTTCCACTGGGCACAGCCACCAGCCCCGTAGAAAGGCGACTAGCCAGGGTTGCCCCGGCGCCCTCAGTGCGTTTGATTCGGGATTTTTGCTCCTTTTTACAAGGCTTCGGGGAGGCAGCCTGTAATCAGCGCCGGCGCCGG